CCCCCCTCCCCGGCCTTTTTAGCCACCAGCCCCTCCAGGTTGTTGGCCTTGACTCAGTTCACCGCAACCACGTTCCCTCCAGAATCCAGTCCCCATCCTCAACCCCTCCCCTACCATCAGCACCGCCCCATCACCAAGCCCTCTGGCCAGCGCCTGCTCCCTGGTGCATTGTTCTGGCTGTTGGGCTCGTCAGAGGGGACACAGACACTGGCGAGTTAGGCACCTGCAGTTCACAGGACACAGATGAGCACCAGGAAAGAAGTCTCTGCCCTGGAAGAGGAGATGCAGAGCATGCTTGGTCCCCCTCGGGTCCCTGGAGGAGGAGGAATGGGATGTTAATGCACCTTCTTGTTGCAACAGCAAGGGCTTCCTGCAGGGGGCGATTCTGAGCTGGGCCTTAGGCAGAGCCTGAAAGCCCATGGGGTCTCTTTGAGAACTAAGTGGAGAGGCGGGTGAGCGGGCCGGGTGCTGGTCAGGGCAGAGGCATATTGGGTACATTTGGCCTGGTGAACTGACATCACCTGGAATAGGGGCCCTGGTGGCCAGAGAGAGGTTGGGAGGGAAAAAAAAAAAAGTCAAGAAGAGAGAAAAAGACAAGATGTCTCTCACCAGAGTCAGAGATGAAACATCTAGAAACAATGCTTCTTGACTCTGGTGAATTTCTAATGTGTTACAGACCAGTTGTTGTTGTTCAGTTGCTCATCCTTGTCCCACTCTTTGCGACCCCATGGACTGCAGCACGCCAGGCTTCCCTGTCCTTCACTGTCTCCCAGAGTTTGCTCAAACTCATGCCCACTGAGTCGATGATGCCGCCTAACCATCTCATCCTCTGTCGTCCCCTTCTCCTCCTGCCTTCAGTCTTTCCCAGCATCAGGGGCTTTTCTAATGAGTCAGATCTTTGCCTCAGGTGGCCAAAGGATTGGAGCATCAGCTTTAGCGTCAGTCCTTCCAATGAACACTCAGGGCTGATTTCCTTTAGGATGGACTGGTTTGATCTTGTTGCTGTTCAAGGGACTCTTGAGTCCTCCAACACCACAGTTCGAAAACATCAATTCTTCAGTGCTCAGCCTTCTTTACAGACCAGTACTGGTGTGAAATGCAAAAAGCATATGCTTGGCTATTGTGGCAACGTCAAATTGCTGTAAAGCTTTTGAAACTCTAGCTAGCAACTTCTGAACTTTTTGTGGGCAACACACCAGCTGGGGACTGAGAAAGAGGAGGAAAGACAGAACGAGGGGCCAGGGTTCCCACTGGCCTCTAGTGTTCAGTGCGTGCCAGGTACTACACTAAGCACCTGGCACGTGTTGACTTAATCGTCACAACTCACAAGGAGAGAATGGTTAGCGTTCCCATTTTTGAGATGAGGAAAATGAGGTCCAAGTGGGGTAAACATGGAAGAAAAGGCATCTGTGATTAGGCAGCAGAGCTGGGATCTGGACCCTCCTCTCTGGGCTGCACCGTCTTGCCTGAGGAAGAGCAGAGATACAACGTGAGAGGAGAGGGGAAATGATGCAACAGTGTAGGAAGAAAGGAGCAGAAGGCAGTGTGAGGAGAAGGCACACGGGGAGAGAGGGCAGGAGTGACACAGCCGGCAGAGAGAGAGGAAGGGAGAGCTCTGGAAGGGGAAAGCTGGCGCGGCCCACCAGGGAGGCAGCTCTGGCTGGCATGTAGCAGGAGGAGGTGGGGTGGGGCAGGAGCCACTGGCGAGACAAGGGGGCAACAGTGGGCTCGGGAGCCGTGGGGGCGTCAGAAGTGGATAGGCCCCTTCAGGTTCCGGGGGAGGGGTGTCCATCCCGCCCGGGAACACAGGGGCCCGTGTCCGCACTTTGCAGGGAGCTGCTTCCTCTGCCTGGTGGATGTGGTACCCGTGAAGAACGAAGATGGAGCCGTCATCATGTTCATTCTCAACTTCGAGGTGGTGATGGAGAAGGACCTGGTGGGGTCGCCAGCCCGGGACACCAACCACCGCGCCCCTCCCGCCAGCTGGCTGGCCCCCGGTAAGTGCAGCTGTGCTGTCTGGCTGGTGCAGGAATATATGGTTTCCCTCCCCTGGGACCAGGAGGCTGCCTAAGACCAGGGCTCTGCAGGCAGGGATTCAGAGGCAGCATAGGGGGGAGGACCTTTCAGAGATGGGGGAGTGAACACGAAGGATATGGCCAGTCCCATGTGGCTCAGTGTGGACAGATGGCGTGGAGTGACCGAGTCCAGACTCCCCTTTCCTGCGGGGGCAGGATCACACCTGGCTTCACAGCCTTACCGACTTGGGTTCCCCCTCTAGCAGCCCCCTGGGAGTGGTCCTCTCTCCAGCCCCAGGGATGGGGGGGTCCCCCTTCCCAGCTGGCCCCGGTCGCTCCAGGTGGCTCCTGCTGCTCATAAGAAGGCCCCGTCTCTAATGGACTCAGCTCTGGGACGTTTCTGTTCCTGGTCCTAGTTCTGAACTGGCTGCTTCCTGGATACTTGGGAACATGAGGGGACTGCTTCCTGGGGCTGGAGACAGGGAGGCCTCACCTCATCCTCCTGTGACTCAAAGGCTCAGACACGCCCCCCCATCCCCCTCTGTGGCCTCTTTGGATTTAATTTTAAATGTTCCCTCAGAGTCATGGCAAAAGAAACCACCTCTTGGTTTCTCAAGTTCTAAAATGGCAATAAAGCTGGCCCGACCTGTCCCATGGGTACCACCCGCAAGGTGGCAGGGTACAGCAGGAACCTATGGCATCACTCCTTCTCCACTCAGATGCAGGCCCTGTCAGCTCCTGTGTTCAGTTCAGTTCAGTTGCTCAGTCGTGTCCGACTCTTTGCAACCCCATGGACTGCAGCACGCCAGGCCTCCCCGTCACCAACTCCTGGAGTTTACTCAAACTCATGTCCATTGAGTCAGTGATGCCATCCAACCATCTTATCCTCTGTTGTCCCCTTCTCCTGCCTTCAATATTTGCCAGCATCAAGATGTTTTTCCAATGATTAAGCTCTTTGCATCAGGTGGCCAAAGTATTGCAGTTTCAGCTTCAGCATCAGTCCTCCCAATGAATATTCAGGACTGACTTCCTTTAGGATGGACTGGTTGGATCTCCTTGCTGTTCAAGGGACTCTCAAGAGTCTTCTCCAACACAATAGTTCAAAAGCATCCAAAGTTCCTGTGTGATCTCCCACAGATGACATAACTCACTGATGCCTGAGTTTCCTCCAGTCTAAAAAGTGGAGATACTGACACACACTGGGCACAGTTGGGAGAGTCATAGGTGGTTTGGTGGAGGCCACCAGGAAAGACAATGGTTTATTATTGCTGGATTCTCAGATAAGATTGTGTTCTAGGCCAGCGGTCTCCAGTCTTTGTNGAGGGGGTGGAGGGGTGCAGTCAGTGAGGGCTTCCTGAAGGTGGCAGCTGGGGGTGGGGGTGGTGTCTCAGCGCTGGGAAGAGAGAAGAGTCTGAGATAGATCCTGGAGGGGGAGGCCCTGGGAGGGGGCAGGTACAGGGGACGGGTGGATGGGGCTGGGGAGGACAGGGCAGTCGAGGCTTGGCGCCTGCCAGGGTCAGGGTGGGTGGGAGAAGGCTGCCGTGGGGCACGAGGGGGTCTGCACAAGGTGGGGTGAGGAGTGTACTGGGGGGGGAACCAACGGGCTTCACATCAGGAGGGCCACAGAGGTCACGGTGGCTTCCCTGGCTCAGATGGTAATGAACCTGCCTGCATTGCGGGTGACCTGGGTTCGATCCCTGGGTTTCGGGAGATATCCTGGAGAAGGGAATGGCAACTCACTCCAGTATTCTTGCCTGGAGAATCCCATGGACAGAGGAGCCTGACTAACTGCAGTCCATGGGATCGCAAAGAATTGGACATGACTGAGCGACTAAAACACCCAAAGGTCAAGGTTGTGGGGTCCTGATTCTTCTAGGCTAATGTGATGAGCCAGGCTGGGGTTGGGGACCCAATGCCAGTGCCCGGATGACCCAGAGGTGCCCGCCCCTATCTCCAAGCCACAAAAGAGTTTCCTTCCCAGATCGGGAGGGGACTTGATGGAGGTTGGGGCACACATAGAGAGGGGGTCATGTCCTTGAATCCTGTGCTGGAGAAGACTGCCAGTCTTGGGGGGAACCTGCCCAATGCTGCCCAGTGCCAGAACCAGCCTGGTGTCCTGCCCCATCTTGGCAGCAAGATTGTCTCTCTGCATGACTCCCCCGCCCCCAGCCACTGCGCAGTCCATCCTAGCCCCTTCCCATCCTGGTCTAGGGGTAGGGGAGGGTCAGGACTGAGGAGCTAGCGACAGCGGGGTTCACCCGGTTGCCCCCTCCGGACCCTTTGGCAGCAGTGACCGGAGCAAGGGAGCTGTCCGTCAGCTGGGGCCTCCTCGGCCCTCCTCCTGGCCCTGCTCCCGCTGCCGCCTCTGGCTCTCTGGGTCCCTGCCAGGTCTCCAGCCCCTTGGCCTTGACTCCAGAACCTTCCCCCCACACGCTGGGCCCCTTATCTGGCGACCGACCCCACTTCCCCCCTCCCCGCCCTCTTCCCCTGGCCCCACCTGGAGCCCTGCCGGCCACCCTGCTCCAGTGTGCCCACGGGGTGTGCTATTTGTTGTGTTGTGGGCTGTGTGTGTGTGTGTGTGTGTGCACGCACGCGTCTGTGTGTGCCAGCGTGCGGGTGTGTTCCTGGGCTCTCTGGTCACCGGGCGGGCGGTCTCTCCGTCTCTGGGTGTCTGTCTGACTCTGGCCGGCGGGGCGGGGGTGTTGAAAGGAGGGGCCGGCTGGAGGAGCTGGAGGTTCCGAGAGTGCCGGGCGCCGGCTGCTGGGCTGGCAGCGGGCAGAGCGCAGCGCCCGGCTGTGGGGCCCGCACCGGGCGGGGGCGGGGGAACCATGGGCCGCCCCAGCCAGGTGGGCTGCTGGCCACACTCCCTGCCAGGGTGACCCCAGCCCCAAGGCCCAGCCCCGGCGACCCTGGCTGCCAGGCCAGAGGCTGCCCTGGGAGCCAGGCCGCCAGCCTCTGGGGTGCAGGTGAGGTGCTGGCGTGGGCCCTCGGGGCCCCAGGGCGGGCAGGCTGGGGGGAGCCAAGTCCTCCATGGCGGCCCCGACGGGGAAGGCGAGCAGGACAGGGGCCCTGCAGCCCAGGGCCCAGAAAGGCCGGGTGAGACGGGCCGTGCGCATCTCCAGCCTGGTGGCCCAGGAGGTAGGTATTCCCCCCAGCTTCCCCCTCCCGCTCCCCACCCTCATGCGGGTCCGACGCGGCTCAGAGGGCTCTGACTCCAGGTCAGGAGATGGCTTCCGAGTTGCAGTGGTTTTGTGGGGGGAGCCCTGGGAGCTGTGGCCCGGCCTGTCCCACTCTTGGCTCCAGCTTGCTCGTCTCCAGTGCTGCCGGGCCTAGGTGGACAGTGTTTGTCTTGCCAGGGCTTCTCTCCTCCTTAGCCTTCCTGGCCTGGCCTTCTAGCTGGAAACTCGGAAGGAGGAGAGGGGAGAACAGGAAAGTGGGTGCCCCGGAGAGCTCGGTGGGGAGCATGGTGGGGGGGTGGGGGGGGAGGAGAGGAACCACTCCAGCTTCCACCCCACCTCCCCCAGTGAGCGGGTAGCAGCTGGGCCTGGTGCCCAGGCCCGGGGCTCCACCCCGCTAGCACTCTGTGCTTTGGGGGTGGACTCTGGTGGGTGAGGGAGGCATGGGCTGCTTCAGGGGTCCGGGTTTGGGGGCTGGGGGTCAGAGGCCACTGGAAGAGCAGAGAGGGCCGTCTGAACCAGGCACCTGGTCCAACCTGAAGAGCTGGTGGTGCCCCCAGGCTGACAGCTTGGTATGCACCTCCGGGGAGCCAGCTCTCCACATCCCCCTCCATCTGGGGTCAGTGGGGTTGGTGGGGGGGCTTCTGTCACAGAGCCAGGGGCCAGCTCAGGGTGGCAGGGGGAGCTGGAGGCGGCTCAGGGCGGAGTCTGAGCACCCTCACCTCTGTCATCAGCACCCGAACCATCTGCCTTGGCTCTCTTGCTCCTCCCAATGTGAGGACAGGTATGGGGGGGCGGGATTCTCCCAGCCGCAGGTGAGGACCTCACGTTGAGCTTAAAGGAGCTTTAGCATTCTGTATGACCGTGGGTCGGGGAGGTTACCACCCGCCCAAGTCCAAGGCCATGTGCTGAGCTCGTGGCTGCAGACCTGAGCCTGGCCGGCCCCTGTAAGATGGGGTCTGTGGGTCCTGGGCTGATGCCCTGGACTTGCCCCCCGTGTGTGCTTGTGCCCGGGGTGGTGCTGGCCCTGCTGTGGGCAGATGCGGGGTGGTGGTGGTGGGGGCAGGATCACATTTATCAGGTGTGGTCCAGTACAGCCCAGGGGGCCTGGCCACTCAGCTGGGGTGAGGAGCCCCCTGCAGGAGCCTTCTTCCGCCTCCTGTCTGCTGGGGCTCTGGTCAGTTCCATTTTTTCAACCCCCTCTTGATCCCCGGAAGGTCACTGCCCCATGTTCTCTGCCTTGAGTGAGTGGCTGGGGCTGAAGTCAGGGCAGAAGTGGGGGCCTTGAAGCTGCAGACTCCTTCCCTGCCCCAGGCCCAATCGTGTGCCTCCGGAGAGCCCCTGTGGTCACCCCCGGGTGACCAAACCCCCAGCCGCAGCTGGTCTTAACTTCCAGTTACCTCTTCTAAGGAGGTGCCTTCCAAACAGTCCATCTGGTGAAGGTGGTTCCAGAGGGGTCTCCAGTGTGGATGTGAATGGGAGTCTTTGGGATTCCACCCCCTTCCCAGCACAAGGCCTGAGGATGTGGGCCCTAGCATTTTGTGCTGCTCCTGTAGGGCCAGCAGCCTTCGCTCTCAAGGGGGAGGGTGGGTGAGGCCTTGGGCCTGGCTTCTCAGGATGGCAGAGCCAGGCTTGGAGAATTTGGGGATTGCATGGGGGCAGGGGGAGGCCCCAAGGGGACAGGCTGAGGCTCCCAGGACGGCATGGGAAAGCTGGTCTCAGCTCTTCCTAGTCTGGCTTGAAGCTGTGGGGGAGTGTGGTGGCTGCTGTCCTCAGATTTGGGTGGCATGCTGCCTCTGCCTGAGTGATGAGGGGCAGGAGCCTGGGTGGGCTCGGGGGTCGTGTCTGAATGGCAGCCCCAGGCCAGGGTGAGTAGAGAGAGGGCAGTGAGTGTCATGCTGTCTCTCTCTGTCTCCTGGGTGCCAAAGGACCTGAGTCTGGGTGGCTGGTATCATTGGGTCAGTGGCAGGAAGGGACACTTAGGTCCTCAGTCCCTGGGCTGCCAGCAACGGGACTTGCAGGAACCGTAGTGACCACCGCTGTTTATGTCTCCCAGGCTGGAAGCCATAGTCCTTCTAGCATTTCCTGGCGGAGACGGTGTATATGGGACGTGTGTGTGTGTGTGTGTATGTGTGTGTGTGTGTGTGTGTGTGGCTGCCGTGGGGGTGAGCAAGGTGGGAGTTATATCCATAGCTGTGGGTCTGTATCGCTGGTGGGGAGCCGTGCTTGTGGGTGTTCCTGTAAGGTGCCCTGGACTCAAGAGCCAGCCAGAAGGCCACATGGGGAATGGCAGTCAGCGGCCATGTCCACGTGGCTTGAGGGTGGGGTGGGGGGCTCCCCTCCTACAGACCCCCTCTTACACCCCCCCTTATGCCCCCTCCTGTCACTCTGCTTGGCTCCTTCTCTGAGGGCCCCGCCCAGGAGTTACAGGGCCGGTGGCCTGCCCTCCCCCCGCCCCACCCTCAGCACCACCTTCCCTGCCCGCCCAGGTCCTGTCCCTGGGGGCCGACGTGCTGCCCGAGTACAAGCTGCAGGCGCCCCGCATCCACCGCTGGACCATCCTGCACTACAGCCCCTTCAAGGCCGTGTGGGACTGGCTCATCCTGCTGCTGGTCATCTACACGGCAGTCTTCACCCCCTACTCGGCCGCCTTCCTGCTGAAGGAGACTGAAGAGGCGCCCCTGGCCCCCGACTGTGGCTATGCCTGCCAGCCGCTGGCCGTGGTGGACCTCATCGTCGACATCATGTTCATCGTGGACATCCTCATCAACTTCCGCACCACCTATGTCAACGCCAACGAGGAGGTGGTCAGCCACCCTGGCCGCATTGCCGTCCACTACTTCAAGGGCTGGTTCCTCATTGACATGGTGGCCGCCATCCCCTTTGACCTGCTCATCTTCGGCTCTGGCTCTGAGGAGGTGGGCTGGCCAGGAGGCAGGGGGTGGTGAGGAGGGCAGCAGAGGGTGGGGTGAGGGGGTGGCAGACGCACGGTGCCCCCAGCTCACCTGGGCCTGCACCCCTTTCCGAGCCAATTCCTGGTTGTAAAGGTCCAGGGGGCCTGCTTTTCCCCAGTGTGTCTGTCCAGAGTGGCCACTGCCCTCTGATTCACATGAAAATGCTCTGAAGCTCTCAGCAGCTCTGGTCAGGCACCTGAAGGTGGGTGCACCTTTCTGAGCCCCAGTTGATTTTCATCCTGGTTTTGGGGAACTGTGAGCCCTTTGTCACTGTGAAGTGAAAGTGTTAGTCGCTCAGTCATGTCCGACTCTTTGCCACCCCAAGGACTGTAGCCCACCAGGCTTCCTCTGTCCGTGGGATTCTCCAGGCAAGAACACTGGAGTGGGTTGCCATTCCCTTCCCCAGGGGATCTTCCCGACCCAAGGAGTGAACCTGGGACTCCTGCACTGCAGGCAGAGCCTTCACTGTCTGAACCACCAGGGAGCTGGCACAAAAGGGGAATGGGACTCTGCCGGGCGCAGCGGGTGGAAGGCACGCCTACTGATATTAGGAGGAGGTTCTGGGGAGGTCTTTGGGGATCTTACCTCCGCTGCCCCACCACTGAGGGCTGCAGTGCCCCCCATGCCTCGTCCATCACCACCCCCACCCCACCCCACTGAATATCTGTTGCTCCCCGTAGCTGATCGGGCTGCTGAAGACAGCGCGGCTGCTGCGGCTGGTGCGTGTGGCCCGGAAGCTGGACCGCTACTCGGAGTATGGGGCGGCTGTGCTCTTCCTGCTCATGTGTACCTTCGCGCTCATCGCGCACTGGCTGGCCTGCATCTGGTACGCCATCGGCAACATGGAGCAGCCGCACATGGACTCCCGCATCGGCTGGCTGCACAACCTGGGCGACCAGATCGGCAAGCCCTACAACAGCAGTGGCCTGGGCGGCCCCTCCATCAAGGACAAGTACGTCACTGCCCTCTACTTCACCTTCAGCAGCCTCACTAGTGTGGGCTTCGGCAACGTGTCCCCTAACACCAACTCGGAGAAGATCTTTTCCATCTGTGTCATGCTCATCGGCTGTGAGTGCGCCCCTGGGGGTGGGCGTGGGCACAAGCCACACAGGAGAGGGAGGGTATTAGAGGGGCCAGAGTGGGTGCCCCACACTTGCAGGGGCCCCCATCACAGGCATGTTCAGTGGCTGTGAATACCAGGGCAGAGGTGCAAGGTGGGGGTGGAAGAGTGTGTGTGCCCGGGCTTCTGTGTGTGCATCTTGTGTGTGTGCTCACACTGAAGCGGGACTGTGTGTTGGCACTGACCTGGTGCCGGGGTGGACAGGGTCCCTCGGAGGCTGACGGGCTCACACACCCCGCCCCCAGCCCTCATGTACGCCAGCATCTTCGGCAATGTGTCGGCCATCATCCAGCGGCTGTACTCGGGCACGGCCCGCTACCACACGCAGATGCTTCGCGTACGGGAGTTCATCCGCTTCCACCAGATCCCCAACCCGCTGCGCCAGCGCCTTGAGGAGTACTTCCAGCATGCCTGGTCCTACACCAATGGCATCGACATGAACGCGGTGAGGGCCCGGGCTGGGCCTGGGGGGCCGCGGGGGGCAGGGCAGGGTGCCGGTGGGGACTCCTCCAGGTTCGGCGGGTGCTGTCCCAGCCTGCCAGAGTCACACTCCCCCTAGGTGGGCCCAGGTGGTACCGGCAGGACCCTGAGAGGTCCTTCTGCGCGTGGAGCTCGTTCCCTGGTTGAGCTCTCACTTTGGGGCAGGCTCTGGGTGATCATGGTTGATCCATAGGACAGGCCCAGGCTGGAGATGGTCTCCAAGCCTCACACGTTAGAAGGTGAAGGTGAGAGCAGTGAGGCGGCATCCCAAGGATGCACAGTCTGCAGGGAGGAGGGGTGGAGCTGGCGTGGACACCCAGGTCCTTCCCCCGATAGATCCTGGACACCCTGGTGTTCCCTGGCCGGCTCTCCAGGTGGGGGGTGGGAGTGGGGGTCCCAGGAGAGGGCGTGCTGAGCCGCCCCCCTGCCCCCAGGTGCTGAAGGGCTTCCCCGAGTGCCTGCAGGCCGACATCTGTCTACACCTGAACCGCTCACTGCTGCAGCACTGCAAGCCCTTCCGAGGGGCCACCAAGGGCTGCCTGCGGGCCCTGGCCATGAAGTTCAAGACGACACACGCGCCGCCCGGAGACACGCTGGTGCACGCTGGGGACCTGCTCACTGCCCTCTACTTCATCTCCCGGGGCTCCATCGAGATCCTGCGGGGTGACGTGGTCGTGGCCATCCTGGGTACGGCAGGGACCAGGAGCTAGGCCCGGAGTGGCTGCCGCAGCTGCAGAGCTCCAGCCCTCAAAGGACACAGCCCCTGGGGGCTGTGACCCTGTGACTGCCCACAGGGGCCTTGGGCTCCTTTAATTCACCCAAGCTCAGGCCCTCCCAGGGGGCCGGGGAGAAGAGCCCTGTGTGGTGGTGGGGAGTGGGTGCTGCTGAACTCTGGAGGTTTCCCTTTGGGGGGCTGTGACACTCTTGTTTCTTAAAATGGGACCAAATCCGAATGCTCCAAGGTAGGCAGTGGGGGAAGTTGTGTGACGGATTTCTACTTAGGGCCCTGTGGTACAGCTAAGTCCTCACCTCCAGAGCAGAGGGAGTCTGCCCCTCTTTCCCTCGCATCCCTTCTTCTCTGCCCTACCTGTGCACGCGGACAGGTGTGCCTGGGTGCTGGGGACTTCCTGCCCTCTGCCTGTCCTCCCCTCTGCCCTGGCCACCTCAGGGCTGATGGGTCACGGTGGGGCTTAATGCTCATGCTGCAAACACCCCCAAACACCACTGCAACCAAAGTTTTGGTAAACTGCAGTTGCCTTAACTGCATCCCGGTGTTTTCCGTTCTATGCCTGTGCTCAGCAATGCTATCCTGTTTTCTCTCAGTAAACAAAATGCTGGTCTTGATTCACTACTGTGTTATGATCTGTAGCTTGAAGAACATTGTTCATGGGGGTGCAGTGCTTAGCCAGGGGATGTGTGGGAATGGGCTTTGGTGGGGGGGGGGGGGGGTACCAGAGGAGTCAGAACCTAAGGAGGAAGCCAGGGTCTTGGGCAGAGCTGGGCATCCAGGCTGGAGCTGTTGGCTTGCCCTAGCTGGGAGGCACAGGTTCCTGGCCCTTCTCCTCCAGGACACCACACTGCACCTGTCCTGCCTTTGGGAGCTGGGGGCAGATGGGCTGGCTGGTGCCCCCTGGCCCTGGGGGCTGGGGCTGGGCAGCACATGATCAGACTGAGGGGAGGTGCCTGGCCAGGGTGACAATGCACGGAAGATAGGTGTCTGCTGCCTCCGCTGCCGTCCCGGGGCTGAGCCCCCCTCTCGGTGGCCTCCAGGGAAGAATGACATCTTCGGAGAGCCTCTGAACCTGTACGCGCGCCCTGGGAAGTCCAACGGGGACGTGCGGGCCCTCACCTACTGCGACCTGCACAAGATCCACCGCGACGACCTGCTGGAGGTGCTGGACATGTACCCCGAGTTCTCTGACCACTTCTGGTCTAGCCTGGAGATCACCTTCAACCTGCGCGATGTGAGTGGGCCACGCGGCCGACCGCCCTGCTGGGTGGCTGCCCCTTCGCCGCGGGACCTTCTCTCTGGGCTTGTTTAATGGTATCTGGGTCAGACCAGGTTGTGAAAAGCGACAGTCTCAGCCCTGGTCCTGCGGCGGAGCTCACACCTCCCCCGGAGCGGGCACGCCCAGTCCCACCTCCTCTGGTCATGAGAGGGTCTTCCCCGGGACCGGGCAGGGCAGGTGGGCGCGGAAGGGCCCTAACACCGCTCTTGGGTTTCAGACCAACATGATCCCCGGCTCTCCGGGCAGCGCGGAGTTGGAGGGCGGCTTCAACCGGCAACGCAAACGCAAGCTGTCCTTCCGCCGGCGCACGGACAAGGGTGAGGCTGGGGAGGGGAGGGAAGNCCTGCAGTCTCTGAGGCCCGTTCTCTGTCTCCCACAGACCCGGAGCAGCCAGGGGAGGTGTCGGCCTTGGGGCCGAGCCGGGCGGGGGCAGGGCCGAGTGGCCGGGGCCGGCAGGGGGGGCCGTGGGGGGAGAGCCTGTCCAGCGGCCCCTCCAGCCCCGAGAGCAGTGAGGATGAGGGCCCAGGCCGCAGCTCCAGCCCCCTCCGCCTGGTGCCCTTCTCCAGCCCCAGGCCCCCCGGAGAGCCGCCGGGTGGGGACCCCCTGACCGAGGATGGTGAGAAGAGCAGCGACACGTGTAACCCACTGTCAGGTAGGGTGAGCCCCCCCACCTCTGCCCGGCGGGTGGGCTGTGGGCCTCTCTTCCAGCCTCAACCCTGCTCTCTGGATGCAGGTGCCTTCTCAGGAGTGTCCAACATCTTCAGCTTCTGGGGGGACAGCCGCGGCCGCCAGTACCAGGAGCTGCCTCGCTGCCCTGCCCCGACTCCCAGCCTCCTCAACATCCCCCTGTCCAGCCCTGGCCGCCGGCCGCGGGCAGACGTGGAGACCAGGCTGGACGCCCTCCAGAGGCAGCTCAATAGGTGAGGGCGGTCCCTGGGGTCCCGTGAGTGTCCAGGGGGACAGGCTAGGAGGTGTTGGACGGGGGAGTGCTGCAGCGTGATCTGTGGGTTTCGGGCAGTGTTGTCAGGTGCTGGGGCGGTTGTCTGCTCTGTCTAGACCTGTCCGTGTGTCCCAGCGGCTTCGCCCTCTCCTTGCGTTTGGAGCCAGGCTGGGGCCACCATGCCTAGGATGGAAAGTGGGCCTGGGGGTTGACCAGCTGGCTGTCCACAGGGCGGTCCTGAAGTCACGGTTGCTGGTGTCTCCACTTCTCTGAGACCCAGAGCACCCTCCTCCTTCTCGCCCAGGTTGGAGACCCGGCTGAGCGCAGACATGGCCACCGTGCTGCAGCTGCTGCAGAGACAGATGACGCTGGTCCCGCCCGCCTACAGTGCTGTGACAACCCCGGGGCCCGGCCCCACCTCCACCTCCCCCCTGCTGCCTGCAGGCCCCATCCCCACCCTCACCCTGGACTCACTTTCTCAGGTGAGTCCCCAGCACCCCGGCCTTGCCTTTTCTGCACTGATTCCACCCCAGGCCTGCTTTGCTGCCCCTTCTGTGGCCTTGGGCCCCAGCCTCCTCCCCTCCCCCACCCCTGCCCTCCTCCCAGGCTGTATTCTTGGAGGAGGAGGAGCTGTGAGCACGCAGACAGCTGGGCCAGGGCAGCCCTGCAACCCGCAGGCCGCAGGCCGAGTGGCGTGCGCTCCCTGGGGTCACCCGAAGGGCTGGGTCTACTCGGGGTGCCTGTGTCCGTGGCTGCATGTGGAGGAGACTGTTGAGCCCTGGGGGGCCTGGTGGTGGGTGCTGGGTGCCAGTGCGCCCTTGGGACAGGGTCCCATGGCCCTGCTGTTGCTGACATCCCCAGGTCTGACTCTCCACTTGACCCATGACTTTCATGCTCGGCACTTTGCAGGGTTGTCCCGGAGACTTTGGCTAAGTCCCAGGGTGGCCCTTCTGGTTGGCTTCTCTCCCCTCCGGCCAGAAGTGGGCCTCTGTCATCCTTTGTCCTCCCCTGAGTGGACCTGTGTGTTCCTGGTCTCCTGACAGGACAGCGGTGTCTGGGTCTCAAGCAGGGGGTCCTTCGGGTAACCCGAGATGGCCTGGGCTCCGCCGCCCCCTCCCCCGTGGGCATCTGCTCCCCTCCCATATGCTGCCTGCTGCTGTTTGCAGACACCAGGGCCCACGTCAGCAAATGTGCCAGTCTCCCTTCACAACCTCCCCCGCAGAGATCTCACAGCAGACTCGTCAGCACCCACAAAGCCCCTCCCGCCTGCCCTGGCACTCTCCCTGGCCTTCCGAAGCCTGGCCGCCAGCCTGCCTCTGTTTCTAGGTCCCGGAGTCCTTTCGAGACTGCAGTTAGGAACCTTGTCTCTTTTTCTGTCTAGCTTCAGTGCCAGCTCAGGGGCCCTTATTCCGGGTTGGCGTTGAATCCAGCGGCCAGGTTCCCCGGGGAGGGAAGTGGCTGAGGCCTGGGGCTCCCCACAGGATCAGACAGAGGCTGCCCCGGGGCCCCCAGCTGCCTGGCCGGGCTCTTGTCCACCCAGAGCACGTTTCTCCACGTCCGGTCTTGCCCCCCTCCCTTGGCGGTTGGAGTCCTGCTGTCTCCCTCAGCCCTTCTCCTGACCCCTCCTGTCTGGCTCCAGAGTCCCCAGACCCTCTCTCTCCTCTGACCCTCTCCTGCTTCTCGGCTCCTGGCCCCCCACACTCTCTGTTTTCTCCACAGGTTTCCCAGTTCATGGCGTGCGAGGAGCTGCCCCAAGATGGCCCCGCTCGACGCCTCTCCCTGCCGGGCCAGCTGGGGGCCCTCACCTCCCAGCCCCTGCACAGACACGGCTCAGATCCGGGAAGTTAGTGGGGCTGCCCAGTGTGGACACGTGGCTCACCCAGGGTTCAGCGCACCGCCTGGGCCCCTCCCCGTGGAGGCCCTGCCCGGGAGGCCCTGGCCGCCGACGGGAGAGGAATAGGAAGGCACGGCCCCTCCCCCAGCCCTTGGGGGCCCACCTCCTCCTGCGGTCCCCGGGGGCCCCGGTGGGGGGGGCGCAGGGGCAGGGACAGGGCCGGGCAGTGGATGGGGGTCTGTGGTCCCCCCACTGCCCTGGGGCAGTAGCTGGTCTAACTGCCCGGAGGCACCCGGCCCTGGGCCTTAGGCACCTCAAGGACTTTTCTGCTATTTACTGCTCTTATTGTTAAGGATAATAATTAAGGATCATATGAATAATTAATGAAGATGCTGATGACTATGAATAATAAATAATTATCCTGAGGAGACTCCAGTGGTGCTGGGAGGTGTAATAGCCACTTGCTGTATCCCATGTGTGTGGCCATAGCATTGCGGGCACGGGCCTGTCCAAGGGAATCCAGGCCAGTCCGTCTGTGTGCACCGGGCCTGCAGGGGCAGCTCTGACATCTGGGTGTGGGGTGGGTGCAGTGGGGGTGCTCCCTTGGGGCTGACACACATCACCTCCAGGGCCTCTTGCCTCTGGAGGGCCCTGGTTCCCTGTGGTCCTGGATTCAGGATGGCAAACAATCACTTGGCCTGTGATGAATATAGAGGTTGTCCTAATGAGATGCTGGGCCTGGGGTCCCACACTTCAGACCCTTGGTGGCTAGCGGATTGGCACAGTGGCCCCTGAAACTGACCCCACGATGACGGCTGATACAGCCGTGTTCTTCTCCCCCCCCCAACAGCTCTGGGTCCAGCCCATGCTGACTTGAATCTGGGGTTATATTTGGCCACGCCCCCAACTTGGTCTTGCATGCATGCTAAGTCCCTTCAGTCGTATCTGACTCTTTGCAATCTCATGGGCTGTAGCCCGCCAGGCTCCTCTGTCCAGGAAATTCTCCAGGCAAGAGCACTGGAGGGGGTTACCATTTCCTCCTCCAGGGGATCTTCCTGACCCAGGGATCAAACCTGAGTCTCTCATGTCTCCTGCAGTGGGAGGTGGGTTCTTTACCACAAGCACCACCTGGGAGACCCTTATCCTGACCTTTAACTCAGCCTCACGTGGATCCTGTATGATTGGGCCCCCACAGTGACCTGAGTCCGGGCACGCTGGTTTTCTCGGCCCCTATCAGAGCCCCACTGGTGTCTGCCTGCAGATGGGCTTCACCTTGACCACCTGCATCCCTTGGTCACCTGTGATCCTTGACCAGAGGAGCTGGAAGTTTCCGAGTGGCTCATTCCCATCCCTGGAGGAAGAAGTCAGATGTCCTGGGGTCAGTGAAGGGTGGAGGCTGTGTGCACCTGTGTGTGTGTGTGTGTGTGTGTGTGCACGTGCTGCTGGTCTTGTGGGAACACGCAGCCTCTCAGAGGACCTGCCGTGCAGTGGCCGAGTCAGGGCAGCTGCCAGCCAGCAGGAGGAGCCGATGGGCATCATTGCTGCCCAAGGCCTCCAGGGCCACTTAATCCTACAACCCCCCACCCTTCGAGCTGGGTTGGTTAGCCTTGCTTTGAGGAAAACACATTACTTCCCAGGCCTGGGGTCAGGAGGCTATTGGGAGAAGAGCCTGGTCTCTGAGCCACCTGGAGGGAGCCCTTTGCCCAGATGGTAGGAGAGACATTCCCAGCGGTTCTGTGCCAGGGCCCAGGCTCCCCTTCCAAGGGTGTGACGGAGGTGGGGGTGGGGGCCCTGTGTGTTCAGTGTGCCCTGGGGCTCGGGACCTGGAAGATGGGCACGGGGCAGAGAGTGGGGAGAAGGATTAGACCCCCGGGATGTGGAGAGGGGTGACACATAGAGGGGGGCCAGGCAGAAAGGGTAGCTTTGTGTGATAGGTTTTGGCACACGTGTTCAGGCATGTACACGTGAGTGTGAGCAAGCATCTGTTCATGGCTCACACACAGGCCTCCCTGGTGGACTGATGTGTGTGGGTGCCGGGTGGGGGGTTCTAGCCGGGGCGATGCCCTCTATCACGGGTTCCGGGCACAAGTGGGAGCCCAGGGCAGGACACAGATGTGGTCAGAGGCCGCTGCGAGGCTGACGGCAAGAAGCAAAGGTGCAGACGACGCTCACTCCACTTGGCCCGCAGGGGCCGAAGCTCTGGGCCACGTCCCTGCCTCCGTCCTTCCCGTCTCCCCTGTCCTGACAGCACCTTCTTCTGGCAGCTCAGCCCGATTCACTGCACTCTGTCCAAGGACGGGGGGCAAGGGCTGGGGAGCCCAGGGAGGGGGCCTGGGGCAGAGGCTGGGGGCCAGCCCAGCGCGTCAGCGCTGCGTGCTGGTGGGCCTCAGGAGGAGAGGAGAGGAGAACTTTGCGCGTGCTCTCTGGGCTTTGTATCAGGTTTGACGCTGGTTATTTCTCTTCGGCACATGCCAGGCCCCTGGTCAGCTGCCTGCAGCCAGGGGAGGGCACTGCCTGGCCTGGAAGCCTGATGCATGCGTTTCCAGGGATGAGTGTGTGCGCGCGTGTGTGTGTGTGTGTGTGTGTGTGTGTGCAAGTGCACACATCTATGCTCAGGATGGGGGCTGGGCCGGCGGAGGAGATCCTCTAAGTGCTTGTCCTCAGTGAAAGCTCATGGGTGCCCAGGGCTTGGTCCACTCCATCCGGGTGAAGGAGCTTCCAGTGTGGCTGAGACACCAGCCCCAGGTCCCTGCCAGGAGCCGCCACTGAGATTTGAGAGGCTGGGCAGGGGACGACAGCCACGGTGTCTCCATCTCCTGACAGTTCCATCTGTCCAGCTGCATCATTGAGCCCCTAACGGCCTGTAGAGGGAGGTGTCACTAGTCCACGTGAGGACGGTCATCTCAGGGTGGTCAGTGACTGGCTGGGGGTCTTGCTGCAGGCAGATGGCAGTGCAAAGCTCCAGGCTGCACAGGAGGGTGGCAGTATGCTCAGACGCAATACTGGGGCCAACACTGACCAGTTGCAGGGTGTGGGCTCACACCTGGACCTTGGGGGGCCCTGAGAGGCTGGCAGGGGTGCTGTGAATGGGCATCGAAGCTCAGCGTGGAGCCTAGCACAGAGACTGTCCATTCTCAGCCTGCTCTGTCCTCCCCTCCCCTGGCCAGGGGGTAGCACTCTCCTGCTGACAGTCAGGAGGCCGGGTTCCACCCAACCCAGCAGTGTATAAACCCGAGCTATGCCTGTGTTCTGGGAGCTCTCTGCTGGGCTGCATTAAGTTTTTGGGTAGGGCCTGCTCAAGGCTGAAGGCTTCCTAGAACAGTGGGGTAGCAGTGGGGGTAACCTTCAGCTTTGACCAGGCCCTGTCCAAGAACCCTAACCCTAACCCTAAAGTGAGTGAAGTTGGTCAGTTGTGCCCGACTCTTTGCGACCCCATAGACTATAGACCACCAGGCTACTTTGTCCATGGGGTTTGCCATTTCCTTCTCCAGGGGGTCTTCCTGAACCGGGGATCGAACCCGGGTCTCCTGCATTGTACGCAAATGCTTTACCATCTGAACCCTAACCCTAACCCCCGCCCTAGGCTGGTTGCACCTCGTGGGGGTCCTGCTGTGTCCCTGGCCGGGTTCTCAGGTGTGTTAGTCGTGTTGGGGGCAATTCTGGGGGCTGGCTGCAAGTATAGCAGGCTATTTTCCACCAGGGGCCACTTTGGTTCACCGTGCATTGCCCACTCCTTTAAGATCCAACTTCATCTTTTTTTTTTTTAATAGAAATCATCAGTGAAATTGCTTTGGACAGGAGAGGAAGGACCTTCAGAAGTCAGTAGCCTGTGAGCCTCAAGGGCATCTCATTACTGGGGGCTCAGGAAGAGAGGAAAGAGGGAGGTGTGGGAATCAGTGTGCACCCCTCTGCCCCCAGGGGCAGGTCCCACAGCCGAGGGACTTAATCCCTGCTGGCCGGAGGCAATGAGCTATGAATATCAGGTCTGTTGAAGGAGGGGTGGGGAGGCTTCTTTGACTTTGCAGGGCCCGGATAGTGCCGGGCACTGGGGCGTGCTCAGTGCTTCCCCAATGAAGGAAGGAAGGAATGCAAATATTGCTTTTCGTCCTGGGATGGAGACCCTTGGGCTGGACAGAGACCCTTGGGCTGGACGGAGACCCCTGGGCTGGAAGGAGACCCCTGGGCTGGAAGGAGACCCCTGGGCTGGACGGAGACCCTTGGGCTGGACTGAGACCCTTGGGCTGGAAGGAGACCCTTGGGCTGGACAGAGACCCTTGGGCTGTGCAGGCAGGGCTGGGGAAGTCCTCCAGTGGCTGGCAGAGCTGAAGGGGGCCTCTGTCCAGGGCTCTGGGCCCTCACCCTGGGCCTGCAGGTCACCACGTTCTCCTCCATGCCTGTCCTCAGGTCTGTGCTGCCCAGCTCTGTGGCAACTGCCCGCTGCTCCAGACCCACTCCCTGGCCTCCCCTGTCACCTGGGCTCTGGTGGTGGAGGGTGGCGGGGCGCAGGGCAACAGACTGGCCAGGCGCAGTTCCCTCCTCTCCTGCAGGGCCAGCCACCACTGCTGGGGGCTGTTGCTCAGAGCTCAGGGTTCTCCCAAACAAAGAGGACCGGAGGAGTGGGGCGGACCTGGAGGGGTGACTGTGGGCAGGCCTGGGCTGCCTCCGCTGACCCCCACCTCTGCACCTAAAGATCCAGGAGTAGAGAGAGGCACTCCCGGGTGTGTCTCAGCCTCCTGACTCGTGACCTGTGACTCACTCCGCGGGGGTCCAGGTGCAAACTCACTCCACCCTGTCCTTACTGGGACTCCGCCCCTGCCCCACCCCAGCAGTCTTAGCGCTGCTCACATTTCAGTCTCAAATATGGATCTTACCGGGGCCCATCCTTTGTGGTGAGCCTTATTCTCACGGCCTGCCTGAAATCTGAGGCCCAGAGGCTGGTGGAAGCTGCTGGGTCCACAGCTCCCGAGGGAGGAGCTGGAGCGTGAACGCCGACAGAACTTTGCCCATGTCTGAGATTTCTAGAACCTTCGCCCCCCTGCAGGCTTTTGTGCCTTCTGCCCCTTTTGCCTCCCGGCCCTTTGTTTGGTGACTTCCTGCAGGTCCTCGGATGACCATTCTTGGACACACGGGGGGGCGCCCCCTCCCGTGGCTGGGAGCCCCTTCTGCCTTCCCCAGCCCACCCTCTGTACCCTAGACTGCCGAGCCTGGGGGCTCCTCACCTCTGTGTCCCCCAACACCACGCACAGTGCCTCTCCCAGAGCAAGCACTCTATAATTTATTCACTTAATGAGCATTTCTGGATTTAGGGAATAATGTGGTTCAGCTGGTAATTAATCCTCCGGCAATGCAGGAGACCTGGGTTCGAACCCTGGGTTGGGAAGATCCCCTGGAGAAGGAAAAGGCTACCTACCCCAGTATTCTGGCCTGGAG